TCCTCCACGGAGCTTCCCTTCCTGGGCAGTTCTGTTAAAAATGCAGTCAGCTTTTGATCTGTCAGGTATTCCACCTTTTCTGGCTGCCAGGGTTGGAATTTTTCAGGTATTTCACCTTTTTGCTCCCAGGGTTGAATTTCTGTCAGATATTTCCCCTTTTTTTGCCCCAGAGTTTGAATCTCTATCAGATATTTCCCCTTTTTTGCTCCCAGGGTTGAATCTGTGTCAGATATTTCCCTTTTTTTCATCCCAGAGTTTGAATCTCTGTCAGATATTAAACTATTCTTGCTGCCAGGGTTGAATTTCTGTCAGATATTTCCCCTTTTTTGGTCTCGGAGTTTGAATTTCTCAGCTATTTCCTTTTTTTTTGCTCCCAGGGTTTGAATGTCTGTCAGATATTAAACTTCTCGTGCTGCCAGGGTCTGAGGTGGTCCCTGGCTGTGCAGGCACTGCTGGAGCCCGGAGTTGCAGGGAGTTTTTAACCCCTGTGCTGGCAATAATTCACATTTCCCTCTGCTGCTGTAGGGTGGGGCTGTGTTTGAGGGAATTCCAGTTCCTGGAGTGCTGTGCCCTGTTTTTGTGACCCTCTGTGCCTTTTGGGGGCTATGTTTGAGGGAATTCCAGCTCCTGGAGTGCCCTTAGCCAATTACTGCCGCTCACTAATTACTCAGCTGTTGTAAATACAGGCGGACACAATGGGAAGAAATGCTGATGTCTGACTCAGTGCAGAAGGCTGAATGATTTCTTTATTATAACTACGTTAAAATTCATTAATATCCTATATAAAGGAGATACTAAAACTACAGACCTACTTTTTCTAACTACCAAATCGAACTCCTTTCAAGTCCTGGTCCTCTCTTGAGAGTCCAGCCACAGTTGGATTGGGTTGGACTGGGTTGGATTGGGTTGGATTGGGTTGGATTGGGTTGGATTGGATTGGATAGGGTTGGATTGGCCACCAGCTCAAACAATCCTCACCAGAACCCAACCAAGCATCACTCCAGGTAAACAATTCTCCAAACACATTCCACGTGGGAACAACAAGCAGCAGAAATAGAAATTGTTTTCTCTTTCATTTCTCTCCGTGCACCTCCATGAAACTCCTGAGAGGGGGAGAGATGTGCTGCCACACTCAGCCGTGCCCTTAGTGAGGCTGGGCGAGCGCTCCCTCCTCCCTCAGCTGCTTGCAGGGCTCTCCCCTGGAGGAAGCCCTGAGGAAAACACGAGTTCTGCTCTTTCTCTCCTCTCTCTCCCTGGAGCTGTCCTACGTGATGTCGGGGTACCGCTGCTTCACCTGCCCCGTGGAGTTCAACAACGACACCAACAGCTTCACGGTGGACTGCGAGCCCTCGGAGCTCTTCCAGCTGCAGGAGTACAACGTCCCCGTGGGGCTGCACTCCGTGCTGGGCTGGGTACGCCCCTCTGTGCCCCTGGCTTTGTTTTTGGGGTGGGATTGGCGAGGGGAGAGCGGGGCTGTGTTTGTCAGAGCACAGGAGGAGCGGAGCTGCTGCTGGGGATGGGGATCCCAGAGGAGTCATCCCAAATCTGGGGACGTGAGCCCACCTGAAAGCCAGCGGGGCTGCAGCCTGGGGGCATGGGAGAGGGGCCGGCTCTGAGGTGCTGCTGTGTGGTGAGTGTGTTCCTGCACTGACAGTGCTGCTGTGCTCTGTGCTGCAGAAAACCGTGCGGATGTACCCGTTCCAGATCCACAGCATCGCCCTGTCCACCTTCGCCTCCCTCATCGGGCCCTTCGGCGGCTTCTTCGCCAGCGGCTTCAAGAGGGCCTTCAAAATCAAGGTGAGGAGGGGGGACTGGGGGTCACGGAGGTTTTGGGGGGGCATGGAGTTCTTCAGGAGGTCCTGGAGGTTTTGGGGGGGCATGGAGGTTCAGGGGAGGAGACACAAAGTGGGTGCTGCCCCTCAAGGCAGTCCCAGAGCTCCAGGGGAAGGGAGGTTTGTTCAGACACGGATGAAACGCTGGAGCAAGATCTGGGTTTTTTGACCAAAAGGGAAGAGACCTTAAGAGTTTAAGTGTGATATTCTAAACCCTGCTGTGGTGCAGGCAGGGGAAGGAAGCCCCGGGCAGGAAATTGTGCAATCTGGGGTGTGCTTTGCTGTCTTGGAGGCTGGTTTCACATACAAACAGCCTGTGCTCAGTTAAGATGCCTTGAAAGGCGAGGCAGGGTGGCAGCAGGTAAACATTTGCCTTCCCTGACCTTGGGGCAGCAGAGCTGAGTTGAGCCTTGCTGCCCCTCAGGCTCCAGCAGCTTCAGAAGGGAGAAACTTGGAGAAGCAGGAGCCATTGACCCAAACGTTCCCGTGGTGGGACTGTGCCTTCTGGGCAGGGCTGGGCCGGGGGTGAGCGTGGTGTGGGGGCACCAGAGGCAGCACAGGTGTGGGGAGGGCTCAGGGACATCCCTCTGCTCTGCCAGGACTTTGCCAACACCATCCCGGGCCATGGGGGCATCATGGATCGCTTCGACTGCCAGTACCTGATGGCCACCTTTGTCAACGTCTACATCGCCAGCTTCATCAGGTGATGCTGCTTCCATGGCTCCAGGGGCTTCATTAACTCTTCATTACTCTGTTTTTGTTAAGAAGTCCATTGTTTTATAGACAGTCACCATGCAGGTAGGCACACTTGGTCCTTTACTTAAAACTTGATTACTGTTGGTTGTCGCTACTGGACAATGAAGTTTGGTAAGTTCAAGGGAGAAAAAGAGAAAGTTTTATTCCAGCATCTGGTATTTATAGAATTCCAAAAGTGACCGTGGATTGGAGGATGGAATTACCACCTCTCCAACCACACCGGTTAAACCAACAGTCCATCAATTCTCTCCTCCCACAAAGAATGCAAAACAATGATTATTTACATGAACAGTGCGTGAGAAATCCAGTAGAAATATATAAACATTATCAGAAGGCTAAAGTTTTATGAGAACTCTAAAACTTTTAAAAGAACTATAAAAGAAAACCTAACACTTTTAAAAATCAGGGCAACAATTGATTCATTAACAAACCACTCTGTGGTGGACAAATCTCCATACCACGTTCCACATGCTCAGAGCCCAGGTGCAGCAAGGTAAGAATTGTTTCTGGTTCTTTTAAAACTCTGACCTTCTCCCAGCCTTTCCCAGCACTGTGCCTGGGGAAAGTTGTGTTTTGCTATTGGACACAAAATGAGTACACAGAAGAAGAGAAAGTTTTATTTGAACATCTGGTATTTATAGAATTCCAAAGGTGACCGTGGATTGGAGGATGGAATCACCACCTCTCCAACCACACTGGTCCAAAGATCAATCAATCCTTTCTCTCCACCCACAGAGAAATATGAAAACTATTCTATTTATACATGAAATCGTGTGGGAACTCTTGACTCTCAAACATGTAAACATGATCAGAAGGCTAAAAAGTTTTATAACAACTTTAAAACTTCCAGAAGAGCTATAAAAGAAAACACTTTTAAAAATCAGGGCAACAGTTGTGTTTCTCCCTGTGGCCAGGGAGCTGCTGGCACAGGGGAGCCCTGCTGGGGCTCCTGAGCTCTCTGACAGCTGGAACAGCTGGAAATGCAGGGCAGAGGGAACTGGGATCCTCAGCAGAGCTGGGAATGCAGCCCTCAGTGAAACAGGCTGAAAACTTAGCAAGGTAGAAATCTACATTTAGGTGAAATATGAATTATGCTTGCTAGCATAAGTAAAATATGCTGTTTAGCCTGGTAGCTCTGCAGCTTTAGTAAAA